AATCACAGATCCATCAGACCAATCACAGATCCATCAGACCAATAACAGGATCCATCAGGGTCCATCAGACCACTCACACAGATCCATCAGACCAATCACACAGATCCATCAGACCAATCACAGGATCCATCAGACCAATCACAGGATCCATCAGACCAATCACACAGATCTATCAGATCAATCACAGGATCCATCAGACCAATCACAGGATCCATCAGACCACTCACACAGATCCATCAGACCAATCACAGGATCCATCAGACCACTCACACAGATCCATCAGACCAATCACAGATCCATCAGACCAATCACAGGATCCATCAGACCAATCACACAGATCCATCAGATCAATCACAGGATCCATCAGACCACTCACACAGATCCATCAGACCAATCACAGATCCATCAGACCAATCACAGGATCCATCAGACCAATCACAGGATCCATCAGACCAATCACACAGGTCACACAGGTCGCCTTCAATGAAGGATGCTGAATCGATCAAAATTGAATCCAACCTGCATCAAACCAAAACACAACAGATCATTCATCATGTGATCATTTATTAAACAGAAACAGGAAGTTTTGTTTCTGTTGGTGTTCAGGAGCGAATGAGGAAGCTGCTGAAGGTTTACGAGTTGTTGGGAGGAGAGGAAGACATCGTTAACCCCACTAATGAGCTCATCAAAGAGGGACACATCTTGAAGCTGTCCAACAAGAACGGCACCACGCAGGACCGATATCTCATCCTGGTATGGTACTCTGCTTCCTGTCCACTGAGTGGAACCCTGACCCGGGTCCTGGCTCTAACGGCTCTCCTGTTTTACAGTTTAACGACAGACTGCTGTACTGTGTCCCGAAGCTGCGTCTCATTGGTCAGAAGTACAGCGTCCGCGCTCGCATCGATGTGGATGGAATGGAGGTGAGACTCTCAGAGACCAGGACCCAGTTTGGTCAGGTTCTTGGTCCTGGCTTCCAGTGGTTGTTCTTCTGTTTTAAGACAAATGAACTGTGGAACAGTCCTAAACCAGGAAGGTTTACCCCCTGGTCCAGGACTGAGACCTGCAGGATTTTATTAGTCATGAATATTAACCATAAAAACCAAAACAAGTTCATGAACCAAGAAGAAGAAAACACTGAGCATGCTCAGATCCTGAGACAAACTTGAACCAATCAACTGAGCTGGTTGGACTCTGGATCAGCAGAACTAACAGAACATCTCTACCCTCAGCTGAAGGAGACGAGCAGTGCAGCTGTTTCCAGAACCTTCCTGGTGTCAGGGAAGCAGAGATCCCTGGAGCTGCAGGCCCGGTACACACACACACACACACACACACACACACACACA